GCTTTAGCTGAGGGGTTCTTGATTTGTTTAATAGAAAAGGATTCTGTAACGCGCATTTGGATTTCTCATGGCACTACTCTAAAATACGCTACTCATTTGTCTCCCACTTGTCTCCCGTTTGTCCCCCACTTGTCTCCCATTTGTCTCCCATTTGTTGCTGTTTGGGGTCGAGGCTGGTATAATATTAAGGGTCCTATAAGGGAACTACAATGGAGACTATAGGTAGGTTTTGAGGGTTCGGGTTTTCTGGTTTGGGGATGTCGTGCTTCAGGGGGTAAGGAGAGTGTCATACGGCTGGATGACAAGACGCGTACACGGTCCAGTACAAGGGAGGCAAAGGTAGACGTCAGGCTGTTTGAAAAACGGAAATCAGCGTGTGAGCTGCAAAGGAGCTAAACGTACGGTAAACGGAAGGTCAAAAGGATACGAAACGGCAGAAAAAGATTAAAAACAAAAATAAAAACAAAGGTAAAACAAAAGGTATCGCCACAAAACAATAGCAAAAGGAGCATTAAGAAGAAGGCACAAGTCCGCAGTCGAGATCAGCCAGTCTGCAGACCAAGAGGAGCTTAAAGGTTTACTAGGAAGCTGGACTGCTGTTTAGTTTTTAGCGAACTTCGCTGAGCCAACGTGGTGCCATACCCTTCGTGATGTGACCAAGGTAGCTTATCTCTTCATTCACGTACATGTCGCTCGTTCAACTGCCTATTGTCCGTATTACCACAGTGCGTAGCAGTAAGCATCTCTTGGTGGCGGCAGAAGCCGTACTATATTGATACTTCTGAGAGCTTTGAGTATTATACCGGCATTACGTTTGCTACTGTCTTACCGCTATTAGTTTGTTTCGGCCTGTGCTACGTCTGATCTCGCATGGGAGTTCCAGCAATCAGAAGGCCCCGAACTGCTGAAGATCCTCAACCCTAAACCCTAAACCCTAGACCCTAGACCCTAAACCCTAAACCGTTTCATGATTCCCCGAATTTAGGAAGCCGTCACGTCAAGGCAACGGCCCCAAGCAGGGTGTACAGCGTCCCGTTGACGTGCGTCCGGACCTGGCGAACCACTGTAGCTCGGCTTTGGCCGTTTGGGGTTTAGGGTTTAGAGTTAGGGTACTTACAACTCTCAAGTCCGACATTCAAACTATGACATCGCCATGGCTACTCCAACATGAGCCGTTTCCGGCCTGGTCCCTTGCGACAACGACGCCGGCGGAACCGCCACTAGACCTTCTACAGCCACTAAACTCCTAAAGTCTAAACTGCCCTAAAGCCGTAAAAAGGGTGACGACAGCTGCTCAGAGTACCCACATGGGGGTTTCCGATAATAGGGGACCCTAATATAGTACCCTAAATAGTAGGATCCTTATTATAAGCAGCCCAAGATAAGTTGCCCCTTACTTTCGGAAACTCCCACTGATGAGATCCTGAAGAAAAGTGCCTGTGGGTTCGGATGCTCAATCAAGGTCACAAGGATGCCATAGGCTCCGAGATCGGCACACCTGGGTTTTGGGTTTGGGTCTTGGGTTTAGGGATGTTTCGGGAATTTGGAGAATGGAGCGTTAGGCTTGGGAAGTCTGGTTTTTTGACAGCATTGGGCCCCAGGCTCGTGAAGTTTAAGGCATAGGATTTGGATTACTTCGAAGCTAATTGGCAAGATTGCTTTTGGCGTTGGGAAGTAACGCGGTTCTGTATGCTATTGCATCCCCGAAGTATTATAAACCCTAAACCCTAAACCTCATGACTCAAGCTACGAAGATCAGCTTTTCTGGCTGCTGCCCCAGTCCTTACACCCCAGATCCCTAAGCCACTCAACCGATAGACCCCAAACGCCTAAATCCCTAAACTCTCAGCCTCCAAACCCCTAACCCCACTAAACCGATAAACTCTAAACCCCTAAACCCCAACTTCAAACCTCTAACTCCCCAAGCCTTTTAACCCCTAAGCCCTAAGCTTGAGCTGTCCAAGTGCACTGCCGGCGTCTTCCGGCAGACCGGAGAGTGAGGTTCATGAGGAGAGCCGACGTGAACTGGCTTCCCCCAAGTGTCTAGGAGATCAGTAACTATAAGGGTTACAGCAGGGATCGGTGTGATTTAGGATATCAGGAACTATAAGGGTTACCGTAGGGATCGGTGCGGTTTAGGATTTTTAGGGGCATTTGGGGATTTGTCTTGGTAGGTTTAGGGTTTTGGGTCTTTGGGTGTAGGGCTTCCTGGGATTTGTACTGCAGAAAAGCCCGCCCCGTCGCATGAATAGAACTCCCTGGCGATTCAGGGCTGCGGGCGCTGAAGAAAGGTCGGTTTGATCCCAGGCTCCGGGTTGGCGGCTGTGTGTTAGGGTTTAGGGTTTAGGGTTTAGAGTCTCGCAACTGAGGGCTTCATCGTCTCAGGCTCTTGAGTATATAAAAATTGCGACAGACTTCGGATTGAACTTGGTAGCCGGGATGAAGACAAGCTCCTTTGTGATTGGCACTATCATAAAAGGTTCCGGTTGGGACTCCGCTTCTTGGTGGTGCAGTGAGCCCACTGCCGCAGGGCCTCGATAGAAAAGTCCGGTGTCTCTGGCCCCTCGCCGGGGCCCAGGCGGCACCTGCTCTGCTCCGTTTTTGTTGCGAAAAGCTTTGGTTGCACGATGCGGCTTCTATACGGAATACCAAAGAAACATGTTCATATTTCTCGTTCTTCAAGCTTCATATTCGTTACAGCACTTGGAACAAGATTGCAGATCTGTCGAGCGCAGTAAGGACTAAGGACTGCACCATCCATGGCCGCTGCCGCTGCTTTCTGCGTCTCCTTCCACCTTTCGCACAGACCTTGGTGCTGCATCTGTGCCAGGATTACCATGCCGGTTGCTCACAAAGGAATGAGTCGTTGGAAAAGCTGAGTTCTGAAGGTCGCGTCACCAGCTACCAGACTTGACAGTCCCAAAAATCTGGCATACTTGCTCTCACGATCTCTTGCAACAGCGCATAAAACTGCAAGAGCTTGCAACACCTTGCGGCCCGTGCTCAATCAGCTTGAGGACGACATCCAAAGCACCAAGTTGAATCATCTTGGACTGGCGGCAGGACGAGCAATGTGGTAGGAAGCCATAATCAAAACACACTAGAGCCGACCTGCAAGTGTCCTCTCAGGGAAAGCCGCTGCAACACTGCCTCAGACGCGGGCTCTCGTGGATGAGCAGGTCTAGATGTCGGATAGTGATTTCTCAAACTTCCTAGCTTCCTGGAATACGGGAAGGGGGGGAGGTGGGGAATCAATGCGTCCTGAATCTGTGTCATACCTGAAGGTGTAGAGCCTAAACTCTGCTGAATGCTAAACTGACGTACATGGGCACAACGAAGAGGCTCCGTTTTGTGTCGTGTAGACTTCCTGGGTTGCCGCATGGCGTCTTGCAAAGGTCACAGCCACTGAAACACTACGACTGTCGTTCTGACGATTACTAAGCTTTTTGGTAAATGAAACTATTGCTATTAGTTTCTGACGGACACATGGTGATGATGATTGTCATCATGAGCATGGTGATGACGAGCTGTGCGGCAGCACTCCTAGGGTCAGTGCGACCACGAGAAACATGAATATTCTGGTCCGATTGTTCGATTCCCTTTATTGGGAATAGCGGTACATAGCAGCACAAGTTCTGTTAGTAGAAAGAGCAACGATAGAAACAATAATGTTTGCTGCTGTCGCAGCAGCAGCATCAGTAACAGCAGGAGTAGCAGTAGCAGGGCAAAAACCAGTCGAAGGCGTGTATATATGACTGGGCGTGGGAATAGCAGGGAAACACGCAGTCGCGGGTGTAGTGGTGTAGTGGTTCGTTGCATGAGCAGGCATCGCTGCTCTTAGCATTGTTATTCTGCGATGCCTTCCTTACCTGGCTCATACAATACCCTCCTCGTTGCCACGGTTGTCGTGATGAGTATGCACGTGCTACATATATGGTCCCCCGTGTTGCAACTGCAGCCCCAAACCTGCCAGACCCAAGCCCGCAGTGAGCGCTGTGCGAGGCAGTGCATGTGCGCCAAGCTTCGATCTGGCAGCTGCTTTCGGCTTCAGGAGTCTGCGGAGTCCCTTGAGATAGTCTGGGAAACTCTGCGACGGGATGGCTCTGAGCTTGGACATTTCCTAAGCCTTGAACACAGGGGACACCATGCAGGAAGCGTCCCCGACGTCGAACTCTAGTCCCGGAGGGAACTGACGACCGCAAAACCCCACCTGGCGAGCTCACCACGGAGATCAGTGTCGCGATGCATCCGCTGCCCTGGGCCTCCCCAGTCAAACTTTCAGTGCGTTGCTTTGAACAGAGCTGAAGAGATACAGACACCATTTTGCACAAGCCCTTAGCCGAAATGATGCCAGAATACAAGGCTACATATGTGCACGTGTATGTATGTATGTATGTATGTATGTATGTATGTATGAATGTATGTATGTATGTGTGTATATATATATAGAAGAGAGAGAGAGAGAGTGGCATGGATACAGATATGGATATAGCTATAGACAATAGAGATACAAGCTTGTGCGTATGTGCATAGACACTTACATAGGTACGTACACATACATACATTGCTCTCATGTATACACGTAGATAGGTAGAAGGACCTCAGGCATGCAAAGCCATGTACATAGATGCAAAGAGGTAAGGAAAAGGGTGAGTGAGAACTGATTGATGAGGTGTTACACGCAACGTCTGTTTAGGGTTTACGGTATGAGTTTTTTTTTGAGGGGGTAGGGATTACGATTGCTGCATAGCTCGTACACGTGCTTCTGCCCATGTAGAGAAGACAACAGGTGCTTGTGAGAACAAGTGATTCCACATCCGAGAGCACGCCCTAAGCCCTAAACCTACATTGTACCCTTCGAGACAAGCAGGTGGGAGATACCAGAAGAAAGAGAGAGAGAGAGAGAGAGCAGAACCTTCCACAGCGAAAAGCCACGAAGCCATCAAAGACAGCACGAAAGCCCAAGTCCACTGCACAATCTCTTCATGCGCGAAGACCCTAAACCACCAGCCCATCCCAACGAACCCCGGTCCAAACCCCAAGTCGGAAAAAAAAAAAACGAACTATCGCCCGTCAGTACTCAATCTTAAGCCCGATGCAACATATTTAAGCACCCCGAAGCCCCGAAAAGCCCTTGAGCTCGGAGATGTTGGTCCTACCTCGGCTGCTTCGATCTCACGGCGGCCCACCACCTGCAATGTGATAAGCGTAGGGGCTGATAAGGGTTTAGGGTTCTGAGGGTCTTGTGGTGGGTTTAGGGTTTTAGGGTCTGGGGTTTAGGGTTTAGGGTTCTTAGGGTCTTGTGGTGGGTTTAGGGTTTTAGGGGGTTTGAAAGCCTGGGGTTGCAAGCTAGTCCAAAGAAGGCTACGCTGAAAACTCGACGTGCTGGAAGAGGCTTAGGAACTAGGGCCGTGTTTGTGCTCAGGAAGGCTGTAAGGCCGAAGGGTTCAAATTAAGGTTTGGGGGTTTTGGGCTCACGGCTTGAAGGGCAATTGAGATCTTTCCGACGTCGTTTTCTCTCTCCCTCTCTCTCTGTCCCTCCCTCTCCCCCTCTCTCTGCCTCTCCATCTCCCTTTCACTCTCCCTCTCCCTCTCCCTCCCCCTCTCGCTCTCTCGCTCTCTCGCTCTGTCTGTATCTGTCTCTGTCTCTGTCTCTCTCTCTCTCTCTCTCTCTTCTTTAGCAGTAGGGCCTTGACGAACAGGGTCTTCTGGGAAGGGCTGTCATGGAGAACCCTGACCCCTAAGCGCGGGGGGGCCAAGAATGCAGCGCCGTGGCCCTTTCCGCAGCTCCTCCTCTCCCGGTCTTCGGCTGGTCCATGCTATGCAGCTATGAGACTCTTGAGCTCGCCTTACCCGGTGCCCCTCCATGGGACTGCCAATTAGGGTTTAGGATTTCGGGTTTGAAGACCCCTTGGCGATTGAGTAGAGAAGCTTCAAAGGTGGCATCACGTGCCTCTGAGCCTTCGAAGCCTCTGTTTCACTGTACGTGCTGATCTGGCCTACACCTACACTCAAAGAAGACATTGCGAAGGGACTAAACCAGCTTTTGCGCAGGCCCCTGTAAGAGCCTCCGCTTCCCAAACCCCTATAGGCCTATAGACCCTGCACCCTATTGCGGCGGAAGAGACATGGTCTTCAGCAAAAAAGCCGGCTCCCGCGATTCCCCGTGCGTTTGCGGGAGAATGTACATTCTCCAAGCGGGGAGAACCATCCTGCATGGGAGGCTCATGTTATCAAGGGGCCTTAATAATTAGCATAAGGTTTTGGGGCACATGATACCATCATTGTCATAAGGAGCCCCCAAAATAGTATTGGTAATTATTTAGGCCCCTACATTGGCTGTCGATCTCTCAGGGATCTTGGGCTTGAGTTTCTGAAGTGGAGATCTGGGGCAGCATCGGTGTCTTCTGCGAAAGCAGGATGTGACGAAATGCGTTACTACCCAGATTCCTCGCGCCAGGCACTTGGAGCAGATGCCGGTTGGGGGTTTAGGGTTTAAGGTTTAGGGTTGGGGTTGTGCTGAGATCAATCCTTCTGAGAGCTTCTGAAGTTGTGCCTTAGCGGCTCTATGCGATATGTCGCAAACATGGCTGAACAGCCAAAGAAAGTCAGTGCCCGTGAAGAGCAGCGACCAAAAGCTCCCACACTCTCGGAGCAGTGTACCAGAAGTCAATCCCATCATAAACCTATAAACAAACCCAAACCCACTATAATGTAGGGTCCTTAATAATTAGAACAGGGTTTGGTGTATATTCTACTATAAATACAATAAGGACCCCCCAAAAAAAAACAAAAAAATAGTATAGGTAATTATTAAGGCCCCTATATTATCCCGATCCCCTGCGAAGATAAGATCGGGCCCAGGAGCACTGCGAGGATGACGGACAAGAGGAGCTCAGACCACACGGGGTGGCCAACCCTGGGATTTGTAGGGCCGATGTGGAGAAGCAAAAAGGGGCTGTTAGTGTGGCCTTCATAATTTTCAATAGGGTTTCGGTGAGCATCATTGTGAAGTTCTAGTACGTTCTAGTTTCTATTAAAGGGGCTGGGGCTGGGTTTCGGTGAGCATCACTGTGCAGTTCTAGTAACTAGTATGTTCTAGTTTCTATTAAAGGGGCTGGGGCTGGGTTTCGGCGAGCATCATTGTGTAGTTCTAGTCTCTACTACAGAGGCTGGGACTTGGGGATGTCCAATAAACTATTATATGGGTGGTTGTCAAAATTATGGTCCTTTTTGGGGTACCCTAAATAATAGGTGCCGTATTATAATAAGGACCCAAAAAGGGACCCTAATTTTGACAACCACCCATATGTCTTCCGGTTTAGGGTTTGGGGTCCGGATTGCGGGTTGCCTGGGACATGGGATGCGTTGTTTGATGGCGCCTTCTTTGGTCACAGCGACCTTTGTGGTACTCATGAAAGGAAGAGCAGTAGAACAGGCAAACATGATACCAGCTGAAGGAATGACAAGAGGAAGATGCAGAGTGAACATCACCCCAATCCCAGAACCCTGAATCCCGAAACCGACACCTTAGACTCCCCAAGCTGTAACCCAGTCAACCCCTAACCCTGCCCTGACCTTCCTAAATCCTGATCCCCATTCCTGTCTCGTTTCCTCTCAAAATCTACGAGCTTCAGCCGAGCCACGGTGTCCTCTCGCACGTTTTCGTCACCGAACTTTCGAAGGCCTTGGCACGCAACGGCCACAACAACGAAAGAACATGTGGGGTGTTTCCGAAAATAGGGGATCCTTTTATAAGGACCCCAAAATAAGGTACCCCTTGTTTTCGGAAACCCCCATGTTGCAGCAAGAACAGGATGGCTGGGATCGCCCGCTCCAGAGCAGACGCGTTGGTCGACATCATGTCTTGACCCCCGAACTTTCATTCCACGCCCTGAACCCAGAGACTCCAAAATCCCTTAATTAAGGACTATACCTTAAACTTAAACTATAATAGGACCCCTAATATGGTTTAAGGTATCTTCCTTAATTAAGGACTATACCTTAAACTAGAATAGGACCCCTAATATGATTTAAGGTATAGTCCTTAATTAAAGGGGTTTTGGAGTCTCTGGGAAGCTTCTGGGTTTGGGGTGTCGAAGGCTTTGGGCCGGTCCGCCTGTTCCCAGCCGAAGCCGATGAGGATTGCAGTGGCCTGGCTCGGAATGCAGCTAGGGTTTAGGGTTTAGGGTTTAGGGTTTAGGGTTTAGGATTTAGGGTTTAGGGTTTAGGGTTCTCAGAACAGAAGCGGTGGCGGCCGCAGGATTCGAAGCCGTGGTGGTGGCAGTGGCAGTGCTAGCTGTAACGGCAGCGGTTTCGGTAGCGGCACGCCGAAGATACTAGGACGACTCGCAAGAGCATTCAGGATCAACATTCGGTCTTAAAACGTGCTGTTCGATTGCCGCCAATGTGGGCCGGATGGCCCCTAGGGCATTTTTCAATATCCAGGTTCCCCAGTAGCCCCTAAACAATAAAGGGTACACTTTTTCCTACTTTTTGGTTAAATTAAGGAAACCCCAAAAGAAAAAGGGCAAACGGGTACTACTGGGGAACGTAGATATCGATCCCAGCAATCTGGGTCGAGACTGCTTGGACAAAGGTTGCTCTGGGCCTTGATGAGGGTGTCGGAGCCGTGAAGAACCAGGCTCTGCTGCAAATCCGCTGCTTTGTGGCGCCACCCTGGGCTGAAGATCTTTGTCGTCAGATCGTGCTCAAAGGGTTCTGAACACCGAACCTCCTACAAGGCATGAGACTGCAAGGACCTGTGCAGACGCGCGGCATCGCGATCTTTTCTGCTTGAACTTTGTGGAGAGGTCCTGCGAGGACCTGCTTCTGGCTAAGGTTCTTATCGAGCGAGGCCATGGAACTTGCCATAGAAGGCTGGAGGTTGCAAATAACCCTCCTTAGAACTGTTTCTTTCCGTGCCATCATACTACAGCTTAGGTGAACTACCCCGGACTTACGGAATGCACTCAGCTTCTCGCTAGAAGCCAAAACAGAACTCCTCGCCAAGGTACACGATGCTTGCCGCTTGGAGCTCTTTATTGGTTTGATGTAGGAGCCTTAATGATTAGAATCGGTTTTGGGCTCCTTCATAGGATTTTTATAAAAGTAACCCTACAGAATAATATTGGTAATTATTTAGCCTTCTACATAATCCGACTTCACTGTTTTTTTTCTCCTGGAAGTCACAGAACTTCGGAAAGGAGGTGCATCCTACTTAGGAGTTAAGTGCCGGCGACTTTTGCTGTACTACCACGACGACGACGAGTGCGATTACAATTACGAATGCTGATGTTTCTACCAATATTGAGAGCTTGGGAAGCAGCAGACTCAGAACCCAACGAGACGAAGAATTCAGGCAAGCAAATAATGTTCTCCAAAACTCTGCGAGTATTGTCGTTCAAGCCCCTCTCTGAACTTCTTGGAGGGACATTCGCCATCCTCTCCAGACCCTTCAATGCTTGATAAGAGCCCTCTTTTCTCCTGTTGTCCCCAAACCGAACAGAAAGAGGCCTAAATGAAAGGTCCTACTTGGAGGTTCATGGGTAGTTATAAGTGGAGTTATAAATCCCCTAATATGGGTTATAATTATAGATACCCTACTTATAATTCCACTGATAACTACCCATGAACCTCCAAGTAAGCCGAACAAAAACCAGCCTAAAGCCTACATAGGCCCGAAGTTCCAACAGCCGGGGATCAGACCCAACGCGACTCCACAGACGCTGCAAGCGGGACCTTTCAGCTCCCAGCTCCCAGGGACGCGGTTTTGAATGCCAGGGGAGATCCCCATACTGTGAAGGACCATACCGGTTTAGGGTTTAGGGTTTAGGGTTTAGGGTTTCGGGCCAGCAGGTCACCACCACTGTCACCCCCGAATGGGCCTGAATTGCCTTGGGCCTGAATTGCCTTGGGAAAACATAGGTAGAGTTGCCATCTGTGTTCTTCCAGCATTTATGCCATGGTACCACCGACGACGATCACTGCGACCAGGACGACGAGAGCAAGAGGACGGAAGACCAGCAGGTGATCACAACGACCCCGGGAGACCCGGACACCTCCGAAATGTTTTCCCCCGGGTATACTCAGAACCACACTCCGGATAATTTTTCCAGAAGTATGGCGGGATTCAACATTCGAAAGCACGGCGGAATCGCGTTCCCCCAAGCACTGGCGGCTCCAGGACCAG